AGAGACAGAGCGAGAGAGAAAGGCAGAGGGAGAAACAGGCTCCCAAGCAGCAGGGAGCCCGATGCGGGACTCGATCCCAGGACCCTGAGATCATGACCTGAGCCGAAGGCAGACGCTTAACCATCTGAGCCACCCAGGCGCCCGCAAATGAGCTTTTCTTTTTAAATCAGAGAAAGAGATAAAAAGTTGAATTTGCAGAGCTTATGTATCATTTATCGAAGAGGGGGAAATTCTCCCATTTAGGGATTTTAAGCCAAATACAACTTTTAAAACTTTTTCTATCTCTAATAAAAAGTGCATGAAGGGAGTTCTGCCAAATTATTTTGGGTGATACTTAAATAAGAAATAGGTCTTAATAAATCTTCCCTGAATCAATTAACTTAGAATATTCAATCACAAATGTATAAAGTTAAAAATAATGCTTTTAAGAATTCATACTTCTGACAAATCACCTAAATGTTTTTCCTTTAAGCAAAATGTAGGAATCAAGCCCCCTCTTTCCAGAGTACTCAAATCTCATTCTTTAGGGAGTGAGGACACAATTCTAAATACTGGGGTTTACCTCTACCAGTTTGCTCCTGAATTCTGCAGTGCATTTCGGCTATTAGCCTGGCATGATTTTAAAGATGCAGCCAGCTATCAGTCTACCAATGCAAACTTCAAAAATCTAAGCTAATGCAGCATAAGGTAAAGTCTGCCAGTTGTTTTCCTGTTACACATAATTCCAATAAAATTCAGTAATCCTTAAAAAGAATTCACAGGCTATTCCCTGGTTAAGATGCTAATTTAATGTTTTAATGTTTTACTAGAACTTGAGCTTTCTCAATGAATATTCAAAGAAGAGAGGATAAGAGTCTGCTCATGGACAAAAAAAAAAAAAGAAAGAAAGAAAGAAATGGCACTTTGCGTATTTTGACCAGACCAGGAGGAAAGACAGACATGGGTAAAGCCAGTCATATCTGCAAGATTTTTAAGTGAGGCTTCATTTACAGCAACATGCTTTGCAGCAATGCCAGTTACAAATAATAATCATAAAAACAACAGAATTAAAGTTTTGCAGAGAAGCCCCCCCCCCCAATCACTGCAAGTTTTAAATCATTTGCTGTATACTTACAGGAATTCCCAGCTATGATCCTTTTCCAATTTTGAGTAGATAACAGAAGTAGCATCTTGAGGACAGCTCCGGTGATAGACCCCATGTTCACATTTGTTGGGCTCCCCCAAAAGATCTTGAGTGGCTCTCCGAGCGCTGTCTGGGTCTTCAGCACCTCTGGGTCTCTCAGTTGCTCTCCCTCCTTCCCTCCCCTCTCTCTCTCCCCCTCTCTCTCTGACTCACACACACACAGACACACACACACAGGCACACACACACACACACACCCCACACACAGCCCTGACTCCTCAGTGAAAGGCCCCCCCCAGCATCTTCCCTTACAAGCATCCACAGCGACCAGGCCACGCCCACTCCTCTCGGCGGCGGTCCCCGACAGTGGCCCAGGTCCCTCCTCCAAATTCACAGCGGCGCTCGGAGCCCAGCGCGCGCCGCACCGCTGACCGAAGCTGCACCTGCAGGCGGCGGCCTGCTGCTCCGGGGCCTCCTCGGGGCTCCCTCCCCGCCCCGCTATTCTCCAACAGTCCTTAACCCTTTCTCCCCTCTAGAGACGAGGCTGGGGGGAAGGGGTAGGGCGGTGAAGGCTCCCGATTTTCTGGAGGTCTTGCCTTTAGCGGAGCCAGTCAACACACTGAGCTAATTCCTGAATATCCGGGGAGGGCATCCAGGTAAAACTGCGTTATGTTTCAAAACAAAAGCATAAAAGAAGACAGAAATAACTAAGCAGTATTGGTAAATTGTAGCTAAAACTGTCCTCAGGGAAAATACTTGCTGTTGTTTTTCTCTGTTTATATAAAACTATCCTCTTCAGCTACAGTGCCAGGATTTTATTATGGAAATTCCTCACAAGGAAACAGACATTCCTGTTTGGCAGATATTTAGAATCATCTGGTAATAGTCTGCAAGAAATTAACATTTCTTATTTTAGTGCATCAGGAGGACAAACCCACAAACCGAAAGCTTTGGATGGATTTATTTTGATGAATACATCATGCTGTGAATAGGCAGCTGCATTCTTAAATTCTTTAATAAAAATTCCCAAAAGGCCTGAAATGAAGAATGATGGGATACTGAAGAAGGGGACCCCCACACACACACGCGCACACACACCCCAAAACTAAACAATGTAAAGATATAATTCAAATGCTCTAAAGGAGAGAGGAATAAAGTTGAATTCACAAGCTCACCGACTACAGAAAAATTACTCTTCTAATGGCTGATCCATCTATTTCTTGAATAGAATATTAAAATATTTAAATAACGGGGTTAATATCAGATAATAAGTGTATCACATGGTATCACAGAGGATAAGTAATCTCTTTAAAATAAATGTGAAGATATTTAACTGATCATGTGCTAGATTTTAAAAGAATAGGAATCCTAGAGTTCTCAAGCATCTCTTGGTGATTACAAATTAGAAGACGCATAAGCCTGTAGCAACAGTACCCTTGCTATGGAATGAATGAAATAAAGAGAAAAAGGACAGATGCATCCTCCTGTCTAACCATAAGAGCTAAACAAATACGTTTGGCTCTTGCCTACAAACAAAGCAGAAGAGGTATTTTTTTCTTTTCCTACTTACAGATGAGAAAACAAGAACAGAGAATTGAAATAATTTGTAGAGGTCACAGAGTTAGTTAAGTAGAGTACCAAAGACTGGACTTTGTTTTTCTGACTCCAATTTTACTGCTCTCACCCTGGGACTTACTGCCCCTCACATCAGAGGACACCTCCTCCCTGACCTGGCAGCAGTGGCTAAAACTTGAGGCCCTAGGAAAAAAAAATAATAATAACAGCAGGGAAAAGAAAGGTCATTGTTCGAGCATTTGCTTGTATTCCTAGGCCTATATCCCTGATTTTATTTTCTGATATAATATATTAGGCAAAAGCAGATACAAGTTGACAATTTATGTTAAGTAATTATTGAAGGAGATTAAATGTTATTGAACACATACTATATGTCATTTGTTATCTAATTAAATTATTATAGCAATCTTTGAGGGAACTATCATTCTGTCTATATAGCCAAGAGACTAAAACGCAGAGAAGTTAAGCCGTATGTCCAGAGTGCCACAGTGAGTAAGAGAGAAGGCTGGGCTGGCATTCTGGACTACAAAGCTCTAAAATCATTACTTTCAATGACTCCACACTGAAGAACAGGTTCTTGGATTCTCCTGATGAGAAAAGCTGCCTTCCTATTAAAAATTTATACTTAATTGTTCCCATAAAACAAATTAGAGAATGCTTTTAAAAGGACCAGTACACATAAATGAAAAATAACTGAAACTGTCATGCCAATAATAACTTCTTTAGGACAAAGTGTAAATTATCACAGTAGCCATTAATGATGGCTTTTCCGTATGGGTGGGCTATAGCTACAGAATGAGGTGGAGGCTGGCGCTGGAGAGAAGACCACAGCATTTCAAGCCACCACACCACCTGTCCCTGTCTGATGACCACACAGGGCAGAGATTGCCCGGACAACGTGAAGCAAGGGAGAGAGAGAACGTGGACTTTGCAAACAGAGGAGCCTAGCTATGAATTCAGCTTTCACTATGGTTCTCATTAAGTGATTCCATTACTTTGGTCCTTGATTTCTTAAAAAAATAATAAGAAGAGAATAATGACTAAAAGAGCCACTGTGATATAGTGTATGATAAGTATTGAGTAGCTAGCACTGAGTGGGCCCTCATTTACTTATTGGCCTTAGATCTCTGCATTCTGACTGTTCAGAGTAGTGGTTTGAGAAGGCAATGCTGGAGTCTGGCAGCCCAGGTTCAATGTCTGCCCCAGCTGCTGCACCACCCAGCACAAGCTCTTGGGCAAGCTATGTGTCACCTCTGCTTCTGTTTCCTCTTCTGTGCCCCAAGGATAAATAAAGTATCAACCTCAATGCCAAGACAGTGCCATAAAGTGAAAGCCCCTAGGAGTTACACAACCAATGTTGTTCTTGTAATCATTGTATTCTACAAATCACTTTGCACAAATGAGAAATCCAAAAGGAATTAGGACTTGCCAGAGGGACATGACCCATTAGTGGCAGGAAAGGGTTGGTCACCAAGACCCACTGACCAGTGCTGCTTTTCTCCATCCCCACCAGATGGTGCTTAATGTCAGGAAAAAAAAAAAAAAAAGAATCTGAATGGGGAAAATCAGAAAAGCATAGAGCCCTAATTTTGCACATCACTGTACTGCTGACTCAGACTCGCAAATCACTTCTCCCTGTGCATGCATTTGTGGTTATATTTTCCACCGATTAAGATAAACACAACTGCTGGTGCTTAGGGTTTGGCATATGCATATTATGGGCCAGGCCCTGCTTGAGAAAGCATTATAAATCAAATCAAAATGTTAAAATTTGTAAAACAAGGTTTTCAATTTCCTCTTGGTACTACTTGCCAGAGAACTGTATGTCCCACCACAGTGTACAAGGAGGCTCCTGGATTGTACTTTAGATTGAAAAAAAGACCTTCAGGCCACAGGCGAACAAAGTCACATCAAAAGACTAGAAAGCGATCAAGATGTCACTCCTTCGTTTCTTTTATTCGTGTAAACAATTGTTTGATTTGGTGCCTGAATCTCGACTGGTTTTTTTTTTTTCTGGATTTCGGGGAGGGTCTGGGCTTCCCATTCTGCAATTTTGTTGATGTCACTATTCAAAATAGATTTTTCTTTTTTTTAATTTATTTGAGAGAGAGAGGGAGAAAGAGTGAGTGCACGCACATGCATAGGCAGGGGCAAAGGGAAAGGGAGAGAGAGTCCTAAGCAGACTCCACAACTAAGCGCAGAGCCCAATGTGGGGCTTGATCTCACAACCCTGGGATTATCACCTGAGCAGAAACCAAGAGTCGTCGCTTAACAGACTATGCCACCCAGATGGCCCCAAAATAGATTCTTTTTAAAACTACAATATATTTGAGGTGCAATACTGTGGTTTTAAGAAATATATATTTGGTCATTCACATGACCAAAATATAGTTCTCATATTATATTTGGTCATCTGTAGTTTCTGGCTCACAGCTACTAAAACCCTTGGAATTTCCTGATAAAGGGTGATAAATGTGTCTTTGTTATGTTAATGAAGTGACCTTTGGAAGACCCGGAAGTAACTTAAGGATGGGGACTGACTGCCAGGAGAACCAACCCTGTGATTAGAGAGTTGGAACTTTCAGTACCTCCTTGCCTCCCCACTCCTGGGGAGGAATGAGAGCTAGAGATTGAGTTCTATTGCCAATGGCCAATGATTTAATTAATCATGCCCATGTAATTGTGTTTGGAGAGCTTCCAGTTTGGTGAACAGGTAGAGTGTAGAGACTTAAGGAGAGTGGTATGTCTGGAGAAGACATGGAAGCTTCGCACCCTTTTCGCCATACCTTGTTCTATGCATCTCTTTCATCTGGTATTCTGGAGTTATCTCATTTTAGAATAAACCAGTAATCTAGTAAATAAAACATTTCTCTGAGTTGTGTGAACCGCTCTAACAAAATAATCAAACCCAAGGAGGGTGTTGTGGGAACCTCTGATTTATAGCCAGTTGGTCAGAAGTACAGGTAAAGTTGGGGGAAGGAGGACAGTCTTAATAACTGAGCCCTCAACCTGTGTAATCTGATGTGATCTCTCAGTGGATGGTGTCAGAATTGAGTTGAATTTTTGGACACCCTTCTGTAATCCTGAGAATTGCTTGTTGGTGTGGGGAATTGGGGAATCACCCCCCCACACACACAAACACCCACTAAAATTCATCTCAGAACAGCTACTGATGAGACAATAAAATTTTTGCCAAAAGCCCCTTCCCAAATATATTTATATTGAATATAAACAATGTTTTCTATGCTATAACCAGTAAACATACAAAAATACTCGTTGTCATTGTTGGGGTTGAACCTTTATTGAGTTAGTATTTTATTAATGGTATTTACTTTTACTTATTTTTTTGTACTACCTATTTTTTTATTATGTTATGTTAATTACCATACATTACATCATTAGTTTTTGATGTAGTGTTCCATGATTCACTGTTTGCGTATAACACCCAGTGCTCTATGCAGAACGTGCCCTCTTTAATACCCATCCGCAGGCTAACCCATCCTCCCACCCTCCTCCCCTCTAGAACCTTCAGTTTGTTTTTCAGAGTCCATAGTCTCTTATGGTTCGGTATTTACTTTTATTTTGTATTGCATTTTCAGTTAAGGGACTTAACATTCTGTAGCACAAATACACT